ATCCTCTGATACTGACCCACTGGCATGGTGGAAAATTCATCATAAAGAGTTACCTCTGCTTGGCAAGGTAGCAAGAAAATTTCTCTGCATCCCAGCCACCAGTGTGCCCTCAGAAAGGGTGTTCAGTTGTAGCGGACATATCCTCGTACCTCACCGGTCCAAACTTAATCCAGGAAAGGTGAACATGCTCACATTCCTGCATCTTAACTTGGACTGAATAAAGAATGTGTAAAAAGTGAGCATGTCTACAAAAATTGTTGAGCTGCTAAAATGACTACATTTATTTATTTTTATATTTATTTATTTTTGGAACTGTGACAAATGGTCATGTTTTTGTTTTGATTAGTAATTGCATTTTTTCCATTTAGAAGGATTTGTTTTTGAAAATTTTATTTATGTTTATTTATGTTGATTATTGTTGAGCTGCAGGTATAGGCTCACACAAGTGACTGCAATTTAATTTAATTAAGAAGATTCAATTATTTATTTTAATTATTTTGCCTGATGTTCAATGTTACAAAATGTTCTATATGTTTCCTAAAATAAAATATACTGTGTTCAGCTGGAAAAAAAGAGTTGTTTTTTTACCCAGACATTTAAATATAACATTGTAGAGCAGTAATTACAATACCGCCATCACACGGCCAGCAGGGGGTGCCTTGGGCAGAGCGGTGGCAGCTGCAGGGACTGCAGGCAGGACAGGCGGGTCAGGCAGAACAGGCCGATCTGGAACAGGCAGATCCGGAACAGGCAAGTAGAGCCAAGTGGATGGGCAAACGGGGTTTATTCAGAGAAGACAGGGCAAACAGGCACGGACTGGCACGAGACTTGACAACATCAATGACCGATCTGGGAAACAGTGGGAGACGCGGACTAATATGGACAGGATACGGTGAACAGAACAGGCCACAGATGAGAACAATTAGGGATGAACACGAGGTAACGAGGTGGGCGTGGCACACATTAGGATCGGACGGAGCGGGGCGTGACACTACATCTCAGTGAACTGCATTTTTATGTCTCTTTGCATTCCAAAAGCAGAAGATGTGAATTCCCAGAAGGCAGGTGAGGTTCCTAACTAAAGAGTTTCAGGAAAGAGGCCTGTTCTTGGAACTTAACTAGTGAATACTTCAGAGAGCACCTCATTCAGCTATGATGGACCGGAGGGAGTAAAAGAATCTATTTCACATATACACACTTTACCTCACAATAAATCCTAGAGTTTACTGCACTGGCTCTTAAGCCATTATTTTATCATTTTATTCTAATCATTAAAGAATGTTATTCTTTTGAATGGAAGCTGTGGTTTGTAGGGAGTTGACTTGGGAAAACATTTAGGGTAGTGCAAATAAAAAATTGCAATCACAGATGTCACATTCCAACAATGACGGAGGCAGAAGCAGGCGTGAGGTCAAAACAGTAAGGAGTTTATTGAAGACACAGGAACAGGGCAAACAAAAGGCAGACTGCGTGAGGTCAAACAAAAGGCAGGCCGCGTGAGGTCAAACAAAAGGCAGACCGCGTGAGGTCAAACAAAAGGCAGACCGCGTGAGGCCAATATATAAGCACTGTATTTCACCAATACATTTTTTCCTTAATTCTCAAGTTCATTTTGATATTTGTTTAATGGTTTAACATAAACTTATGTACATATTATTCATTTCCAACAAAAATACTACTTTCAAGCAAGTATGAGCTGAATTGCAATACTTTCAAAAAGAGTTGAACAGAGGGCAAAAAGAAGCGAAGGTAGGGTATTGTATTATAAGTAGAGATGTATTTTTTTTTTAGTCATACATCTTGGCAATTAATGGCATACCACATGTTGGCCTACACATACTCATCAAGTGGATCAAAGTACTATTTGATTGCGGCCATCTAAAATCTTAAACCTACAGTATTTGGTAAATGGCTCCAGAAGCCTGACAACCACTCTTAAGTGGGTGCTTAAACCTAGTCATACTTTACACTTTCTGCATGCACTGCATGGACCCCCTTCCTTTCCAATAAATAAATAAATAAATACATACATATTCAACTGGCCATTCTTTTATTTTGAATCTGCGCATTACTGAGGCCAATTTGCTGTGCATGCATAGTGCCAGGATAAAACATACCTAACAAAGATTGTAGTAATATGTAATAAGGGATAACAGCTTTAACTAAAGTGTTACAAAAAGTCTTGCATGAAGTTTTCATGTTTTTATATGGAAATCCTTTAGTGTAAGTTTTGGGAATGGAGTGATTGTAAGTTGCTATAGTGGGTGTCTTTGTGCTTTGAAATAGACAGTCAGCCAGGTTTGTGAATTTTATTAGAGGCTCTGGATCACTGCCACCCTGAAATAAGAGCATAAGACATTTACAAATGAGTGGAGGCCATTTGGCCCATCAAGCTCATTTGGGGGAACTTAACTAAGCTTAGAGTTGTTAAAATCTTATCTAGCTCTGATTTAAAGGAAACCAGGGTTTTAGCCTGTACTACACTAACAAGAAGACTATTCCATACTCTAACTACATGCTGTGTAAAGAAGTGCTTTCTCAAATCCATTTTGAAGTGTTCTCCTGCTAATTTCCACCTATGGCCACGACTTCTAGTATTTAAACTAATATTGAAGTAGCCATTTGGCTGAACAGCATCCAGACCTGTTAGAATCTTATATACCTGGATCATGTCACCTCTTAGTCTCCTTTGCTCGAGGCTGAACAGATTCAGTTAATCTAACCCAGGGGTGGCCAATCTTATCCGCAAAGGGCCGGTGTGTATGTAGGTTTTTGGGATAACCTGTAGGTCAGCTGTTCAAACCCAGGTGTGAGGACTCTTCAGCCAATCAGTCCTCTAATTAGTAATCTAATTAGGGAGTTGCAGCGAAAACCCGCATACACACCGGCCCTTTGCGGATAAGATTGGCCACCCCTGATCTAACCTCTCCTCAGTAGACATTCCTCTAAGAGCAGGAATCATTCTTGTAGCCCTACGTCGCACCCTTTCCAAGGCAGAAATGTCCTTCTTAAGGTATGGTGACAAAACCTGCACACAATATTTGAGGTGGGGTCTTACCAATGAATTATATAATCGTAGCATCACCTCCCTTGACTTAAACTCCACACACCTAGAGATGTAACCCAACATCCTATTGGCCTTTTTAATTGCTGAGAGTGGGACATGGAAGCATCGACATACACACACTGAGGTCTTTCTCATAATCAGCTACCTTTATTTCAGTGGAACCAATAAAATATCTGTACTTCATATTTCTGCTCCATGCCTGGATTACCTTACATTTATCTACATTAAATTTCATCTGCCAGGTATCAGCCCAGTCACTAATTAAATCAAGATCCTGTTGTAGCCTCTGTGCTGCTAGTTCAGTATCTACTACACCCCCTACCTTGGTGTCGTCTGCCAATTTAACCAGTGTATTCTATGTATTGGTGTCAATATCATTAATGTAAATTAGGAACAATAGTGTTCCTAAAATTTAACCCTGCGGTACCCCACTATGAACGCAGGCCCACTGTGACATTGTGCCTCTAATAACTACTCGCTGCTTCCTGTCTGTTAACCAGTTTTTTAGTTCCTAAAATCGCTGCAGCTTTGAGCTTAAGCAAGAGCCTTTTGTGGGGGACAACATCAAAGGCCTTCTGGAAATCTAAGTAGATCACAACGTAGGCCTTTTTGTGATCAATCTACCATTTTCACTTGGATTACAGCTTCTATTACTTTTCCAGTTATGCAAGTTAAACTGATTGGCCTATGTCTAACTGCTGCTTGAAATTGATGTTACATAAGATGGTGAGTCCATCTAGGAAACGCCTTCATAGAAGGGTCAAATTACTGTTTATTTTTTCTCCTGTGGAATGTTCAACCTAGTTTCCTGTGACTGTGACTTCTTCTATGTTGAATGAATATCAGAGAGGATTTGACATCAGCTTGGATTTTGGAAATCAAACAAATTATTGCAACTATAACACAATATAAAGTGTGCAATTTTTGTCTACAAAATTTGTTTTAAGGCCCTTGTTTGACGGTAAGTTTCTTTTTTCATTTTTTGGGAAAAATCTGTATTTGTATTTATGCAAATATTTCATGGCAATAACGTACAATCTGTAACACAACATGTTTTAGAATGCTTTCTGTTGGATAAGTGATTATGCAAAATTGGCATGCACAAGGTTTTGCAAGAGATAAAAAAAAAAAATGTTTGTACATTCTTGCAGGAAAGGAAACATTATGAGTTCCTTTGAGTTCTCCAACAACGGTGTTTTAGAGTGTTACAATTACTTGAAATGTACTGAACCATACTGAATCTCTAAACTGTTCTATGGCGTCATAGAAGTGGCATAAAAAAGAATAAGGAAATAAGGGGGAAACAGGGGGAAAGCAAAAGCTATATGGAAAAAGCAATAGGGAAAAGAAATACTGAAAAAGCAAAAGCAATAGAGAAAAAGCCATAAAGAATAGTATTTTTTTTACTTGTTTTACTTGCTTGTTCAACATTTATTTTCTTATTCTTTTACTTATAGACTTATTTTCTATCTTGTTTATGACATTCCTATGACTCCATATTGTTCTACATCTTCTCTTCGAACTATCTCTTAAGTGGGTGCTTAAACCTAGTCATACTTTACGCTTTCCACATACACTTTAGTAGACTTCCAGGCTGGGAATGAACTGGGGGACTCCTCTTCCTTGCCTATAAATAAATAAATGAATACATATTCAATGGGGAATTCTTTTATTTTGAATCTGCGCATTACTGAGGCTAATTCACTGCGCATGCAGAGTGCTAGGATAAAACATATACTTAACGAAGATTGTAGTTCTGTATTAGACAAAATCAGTTTATCATGGAAAGTCAATGCAAAATGGAAAGTACCATATCAAAAGTATTGTAACTGGCGCAGTAGAAAAGCGTGCAAAACTTTTGCGCAGATGAAACTCATTTCGAGGAGTTGCAGTGCCTTACCATTTTTCAGATGTTATGGGAGGGCAAAAATATTTGTTCAAAATACATATACAGTTGTGCCTGCAGTTCACGAACACAATCCGTTCCAGGAAAGTGGTCGTGAACTAATTTGTACACTAACCAAGGCAATTTTCCCCCAAAGAAAGCATTGAAATTTGATTGATTCGTTCAAATGCCTACCAAATAATTATTTTTGTTAATTAATTTTCTGTTTAAAAAATTAAATGAAAAACACACTATAGTGTGGCGATGGGCGGACCGATGCATCGCGGGGGCAGAGAGAGACAGTGAAGATTTGCTTGCCGGGCAAATCACGCTTTTTGTGCGTACCCGGTCCGATCCTCGCATGTATTTAGCGTATGTAAATCTTCTACCATGTGCAGGTTGTAGTTCGGCATCTGATGTCAGACCATAGGTCGAGCAGGGACCAGGAAATCAGGAGCAGGGAGATGTAGGATCAGGAACCAGAGGTTTATTAGGGAAAAACAGCCAGACGAGGTACAAAATGGTAAAAGACTTCAATGATAAGACTGGGGAAACATACTCGAACGCAGACTGAAATACACAGGATCAATTGGAATTCACAGGAAACAGCTGATGACATCGGGATTTCACACGAGTTTAATGAGGGGGGCGTGGCACATGGGAGGATCAGACGAGCAGGGCGTGACATCTAATTGTTACTTACTATCCCCTTGAACCATTTTTTAGAGTGGAAGGTTGATTTGAACCACTTTTAGGTATCACTTATCAATGTTGACATGCCGCTAGTGGCCCTCACTTTCCGAACCGCATGCCTCCGAAATGAGCTGTTAAATATTGTGGTGTCGGACGGACCGAGGCATCGCAGGAGCAGAGGGAGACATGGAGACTTGCTTGCCAGAGAGAACACGCTCTTTATTGGTAGTCTTGAAAAGGACTACATCTGGTACCCAACAAGCACCGAACCAATTACGCATAGGAAACACAAGGCTGTCAGACGCCAAACTGTAAGATGCATACACATAGGGGTCGCACCGGGTACACACAAGACACGGGTAAACACATGCACAACAATTAGGAAATGTAACCATTAACCTTAACAACAACAACACAACAAGAGCTATTTACAACTTGCACGCAGGGCATGCTAGGATATGTCCCCCGCTGGTGCTACATTGACCCCTCCTCAGAGGTCGACTGTCCTGGCAACCAACACCCCCAGTCCCCATCTCAGAGATGATGGGGCAGGTCACTCCCTGAACGCTGGCGTGGCTAGTTGCTTGGCGGTGCTGGCATGTCGTTTCCCTGCCGGCGCCGACCCTTCTTCCACGCCTTAAGGGGATCTAGCACAGCTTCCAGTGGGTCCACATCCAGCAAGTCCCACAGCCAGGCTCCCTTCTCTGGAGACACCCAGCGCAAGGGGCTGCTGGAGACTTCCGGTGGTGCAGCCTCCTCCTGGCCCCGGCCCTTCTTTCTAGCCTGCTTAGGGCAGGGGTGTTGTGAAGCAGGCAAGTCCGGTCACGAGGCCTCCTGCTCGCAGGGTCATACGGCCCTGCACAGTAGCAGCCACTCGTCCTGCTCCTGGGCTAGCTGGGCCTCCAGAGCACGACACGCCTCCTCTTGGCCACGCAGCGTGACCTCTGCCTCTCGCAGCCTATGGTGTTCCTCAGCTAACTGGGCCTCCAAGCCGCAACACGCCACCTCCCGGCCGAGCAGCGCCGTTTCGCGGCCCCGTAATGCCACTTCCGGCGGCCGCGCTCCTTCTCCCAGCTGCCAAACTTACCACGCAGCTGCTCCAGCTCCATGGACTTTCGCAGCCACTCCTGGCATTGGTGGTTCCGCTCCCGCTGCTCATCAAGCTCACGGTGCTCTTTAGTGAGCTGGGCCTCCCAGCTGTGGCACATCTCCTCCCGCTCCAACAGATCAGCCTCCGCCCACTGCCTCTGCTGGTTGTGCTCGCAGCTGGAGTCGTACCGCGGCTTCTCGTCACTGACAAGTGGGGAGCCCTTGATAGCCAGTGAGAGGCTTGAGTCTGCTGTAGTGCCTGCCCTCCTCGGTCACCAATGTCATCTTCGCCGAGGTTTTGGCGGGCAGGCAGGAGCGGCTTCATGGCGCGCTGCGTGAGTCCAGTGTGTCCTGGATGGAGTGGATGGTGCTTCTGTTTCCCCGGCGTCCCTTGCTCATCTGGCAGAGGCTCTGGTGCAAGCTTCTGGGCAGTGGTGAGCCCGGTGCCCTGCTCTCTCACAGCACCAGCAGACGAGCTTCTCATTCCTTGTGGGGTCCCGGCGCTTCTCTGATGCCTTGAGGTCTGCCAGGCTGGAGCAAACTTACCAGACGATGGTGATCAGTACCCACTCCAGCTGCACCAACAGGATTGCTTCCAGGATCCCACCAGTATGGCATCGAGTGGACCGAGGCATTGCAGGAGCAGAGAGAGAGAGAGAGAGACACACACACACACTCACACGGAGACTCACTTGCTTGGGAGAACACACTCTTTATTAGCAGTTCTGAAAAGGACTACATCAAGCACCCAACAAGCACCGAGTCAATTAAGCATAGGAAACACAAGGTTGTCAGACGCCGAACTGTAAGATGCATACACCATGGGAGATTAACGTAAGCTTAATAACACACGGGGGTCGGAATGGGTAAACACAAGACATGGGCAAACACACATGCAACAATAAGGAAATGTAACCATTAACATTAAGAACAACACAACAACGGCTATTTACAACTTGTACACAGGGCATGCTGGGACATGCTCCCCGCCGGTGCTACAATATGTACTCTAATATTTCAACATTTGGCCAGATGGGGCCAGATGACATTGCTGTAGGAATTGAACAGCTCAAATGGGGATGGTTTCCCACCAATGTTCAAGGGAATTGATTATGAATTAATTAATGATTAATTCATACACAATTAAATAGGGAATATTAGGTGGTATCACTACTCAGTCTAAGATAGCTGCCCGTCCACCGGGTCAGCTTCTCTCTGTAACCTAGCGACTCAGCTCTTGGCCAAAGAGAGA